AAAACGTCAGCTCAACTCATATCATTGTGGGAAAGTTCTACCAGTCCTTCATCACCTTAGACGAAATAGGGTGAATACATCTCAATTATTTGGTCTGCCTATGGACTCACCACACTCATCTCTGCTGGCGAATGTCTAAATGGACAAGTTGAAGAAAAATTTTAAGACTTCACCTCAACAGCCAATTTGGATGATTACTTCGTATTCTTATCGTATGAAAAATAAAAATTAGATGATTTTCTGATTTCTTTAAGCAACATAGATTAATTTGGCAAATTTACAATGGATATGCAAGGCAACGGACACTTTCCGAGGAGAATCTCAAGACGCAACTGTTCCTAAATAAATCATATGTATTAATAATCCTTAAATAGGAATAGAACTAAATTCCTAATTATATACGGAATGGGACTTGGTCGCGAGAAACTAAATGATATAAGTGTTGAGTTGACCTCGTTTTTGCAACTTGGTCAGAGCATCAAGGAGACCTTGTGGAACGTACTCTAGTCATGCGTCCTCTGCAATAGTATTCGTGATTTCCAGCATCGGATCGATGACTTACTACAATCCCAAAGATTTCACAGGCATCGTCGCTAGCGCAGAGTTACAACTTATCAAAGTGACAAATCCCATGCTGGAACTTTCCACAAGGTCTCCTTAATACTCCGACCAAGTTTTCAAGACGAGGTCAAACCAACATTTTAAAGCTAAAGGGGACTGCGACCAAACAGAAGGCCACATCATCTTAGTCTTCATATCTATGGTCTAAATGATATTAAGATCGATAGACCGTAAGTAAATGAAAATAAAGTTCCAAGATTATTACTAGAAAAGATTGACACGTAAGGAGTCACAAACCTTCAGGAGCATGATCCTCTACAACCACAATGCGACCAAATGTATCCTTTGCTGCCTGCACAAGAAGAGTTTCATCAATCGGTTTGATTGTGAAGGGATCGATTACTCGTATATTAATACCTTCTTTAGCCAATTGATCAGCGGCAGTCAATGCCTCGAAGAGAGTTATTCCGGCGCCAACAACAGTTGCATGATCACAAGGGCAACTTCTAACGACCTATTCAAAATAAAATTGTGAAAGTGGTCAATGAGCAAGAATACAATTTATCCAATCTCTAACATAAAAAGTATGCATGCAAAGTTTATGTAAAAAATAAATCATGCCGAACAGAAAATTAAAAATGAATCTTTTGACTTCGTTTAGCAACGTAGTCGTGTTATCAGAGACCTGATGGACATGTCTTGTCCAGAGTAGTTATGTCGATTTCCGACACCATACTGTGGACTTGGCACGTATTACATAGTTCGAAGATATCATATTTAGCATCTTCAGTGCACATTACCAGTCTCAACTTTAAATTAAAACTGAGAAAACGGATTAAGCCACTTCTATGCAGCAAAAATAGAGGTCACATTATCTTGGTCTAGAAGGAAAGGATTCTTAATAAGTATGGAGACTACGTTCATGCAGCAAAATGGGGTAAAGAACCAACCGTGTGAAATCTAGAAGCACAAAAGTAGTCGAATAATGGATATATGGGATCGAAGATGGAGGTTACAGTATCTACAGCACAGGTACAGTACTCGCACTAGAACTTGACCAGTTGTCATCAGACCCCTAAAGCTGTGATCAACAGCGCCGTATCCAGTGGGTGTAATGATGTATACTAAGATTTCGTCACTTCCAAGTGAATGACCCCGGAACTATATAGGTTCATTCATTCGACAAGCCCAGCCAATAAATTTGGTCTGCCCATTTATTACCCAACTCAAAATATAAGTCAATCCCCGACATCCATCAGAGGCCAACTCCCATATTCCACAGGGTATTAACTAATGAGCTTCTAGTTGAAGTAATTATTATAGGAGAAACGTCACTGCATTACTTTTGCACGCTCCTACAGCAGCGTACCGGCACAACTAACCATGTGTAGAAAGCCTCAATACTTAGCTCGAAAAGAACCAAGAGACCTGGTATGCAAGGTACCTAGGTAAAACTTATGATTCACTCCACCACTTATGCTTCTTTCAATATCATCTTTAAGTCTCCCTAAATATGCCACGCTACCGTGAAACTTTAGTTAACCAGATTAGCTACCCTCAGCCTCGTAATAACTACTCTTCGTCCTTGTCATTCGGTCCAGGCTTCAAAAAGCAATATTAAGATGTAATTGGATGAGGCTAACTTGCAAAACTTATTTGAAATTTTTATTGAAGATAAATAAAGCAAGATATGAAGACCAAGATGGTGTGGCCTTTTGTGTGGTCGCAGTCTCCTTTCGTTGTATAGAAGTTG